ATGTCGAATGGGAGTAAATAAAAGTGGTAAATTAATAAAACGTGGTCCTGTGCAAGTTATACTCAAAGAAGCTAATGAAAAACGTCAATTAATTGTTCGATCGGATGATTCACTTGGTAAAAAAAAGAAAAATAAACATGAGTTTTATATATTTAATAATTTTATTCTAGGTCGTTTATATTTAAATATTTTATGGTCAACATTAATTGAATTAAAAAAAAATTCAACAAAAGATCTTACATTTGTCTGTAAACTTAATCCGGGTATGGCGGAAATAAAAGAAGGTGAATTTGTTATGATATTATTTCGATTTGATAATGAAACAGAACGTAATGATGCATATGAAAAACTTAACAAAGAACGAACATAAACTTTTTTATTCAAATTAATATAAACATTTATTTATACAGAAAAGAATTATTTCATCTTTTCTATATACGATTTCTCTAGGTTAATTTCTTTTTGTTTTCTTTTTTGTTAACAACGTTCAGATCATAGTTTCTTTTTTTTTTTTTGTTTGCTTGTGTATTACGTGTAGAAAGACAAAAATTCTTCATTGTTCCTTCTCTCTCTCTTTCTGTTTTTTTTTTTTTATGTTAGAGATGTTTGAAAATATTGATTCATCGGATGATAATGATGAAGATAGTTTATTTAAACAAGTTTTACCTACAGCAAATGATAACAATGAACCGATTGATTTGAACAAAATACCAACAACTGGAGAAGAATATTTGAGACAGGTTCGGTACGAGATGAATGATTTTTCTTGTTCGATTTAAAATGAATTGCATGATAGTTATTTTATATAGTAAGTTTATTATTTATAATGCAAAGCAATTTCATTATAGTTGACATTTCAATTTTCGTACTGATTGAGCGTTATGATAGATCAATTATCAGAAAATTATAAACAAGAATATTTTAAATTTAATGTTTTTTAAAGTAGAAATTTAACAGCAAATATGGAGTCATTTTTTTGCGATCGTGTTTGTGTCAAACTCTATTTTTCGCAAAAAAGAATGTACATCAAGATCACCAAGGGATCACACGAATCTCAGTCAGTTTCCAAATACTGTTATAAGTATATAATATTGCATGAATAGATTATCCAGAAGTGCATGTAAATGCTTGTTGACTATCGAGATTCATCCCGGACTTCAGTAAGAGTCATTGTAATGTTGTATTATCCGATTCAAATTAAAAGACAGGTTACCATTTTTCAAATAGTTTTTTGATAGGAATGAGATAGAGAGCTGCGGTTTTCACCATTCGCAAGAACGATATTCGGATCATCGATGTTGTATAGAACTTATTGAGACGAAAGTTGCTTTTTTTTATAGATACCTTTAGATCAATACTTTTTCCTTTGAGTATTTTCACAACGATCTCAACTCAAATTATATCAAAATGTAGCTAAAATCACCCCTTTTTTTTCGTTATAATATTAACTTTTGATTTTTTTAATCCGTTTAGAATAAGAGGTTGCGAGATAATGAAATATGTGATAATTTTATAGCGAAAAAAGGATGATTTGAGCTGCATTTTGATATAATTTGAGTTGAGATTGTTGTGAAAATACTCAAAGAAAAAAGTATTGATCTAAAAGTATCTATAAAAAAGCATCGTTCGTCTCAATAAGTTCTACGCCCATCGATGACCCGAATATTGCTCTTTTGAATGATGAAAACAGCAGCTCTCTATCTCGTTCCTATCGAAAGCTATTCGAAAAGTGATAATCTGTCTTTTGTTTTGGGTCAGATGATACATCATGTCTTTTTACAAATGCGTTGTGGATACTTATAAGAAAATGCTTAATTACTTTTTTTTTACAGTATTTTTTAGCACAATACAACAATCCTCCTTAGAAACACTGAATTTCGACTTGAAACTTTGCATAGAGACATGCCTTAATGAGAATAGTTTACTTTGAAGATATCAGATTTTCTGGATAGTGTCTATTCTGAAATAAAACTATCGGAATTAGCCATTGGATATGAGCAGCATGAAAAAGTATGCTTTTACTATAGCCGTATATTAGGATCGAAGCAATCGAAAGAAATGGAATTTTTACAATAAATTATTTCCATTAAGGTCTATTTCTGAGTGAAGTTCCGAGTCGAAATTCAAAACTCAATTTTCCTGAGGAGATCCTGACATTGTGCTAAACAATAATGTAAAGCAGCGAGTTGACACTTATGAGGGAACATTTCCAGGTGTCTCTCTCTGATTTCATTCATTTATATATCATTTAATAGAAGACCTCGAGTAGGTAAAAAGCCTAAAAAAATTGCGGCCGACGGCTTTTTCTTCGAGAGTTTTCTAATTTTCTCAGTGAAAACTAGCATAAAAAGAAAAATTCATAACCCTATCAAGGAAACTTATAGAGAGCCGAAATTTGTTTTGATGGTAATCTTAAGGATCCTCTATATACTCTGAAAGTTTCACAACTCTCTTTTCTCGAGCTATAGGACATTTCTATAAGTAAGGATGTGGGTGTGTGTGTAGGCGTCAGTGCTTCCTTTATCCACACCCTCACCCTTACTTATAGAAATATCCTATAGCTCGAGAAAAGAGAGTTGTGAAGCTTTCAGAGTATATAGAAGATCCTTAAGATTACCATAAAAACAAATTTCGGCTCTCTATGATTTTCCTCGACTGAGTTATGAATTTTTCTTTTTATGCTAGTTTTCGCTGGGAAAATCAGAAAACTCCCGAAGAAAAAGTCGTTGGTCGGAACCCTTTTAAGGTATTTACTTACTCGAAGTTCTCCATCGAACAAAATCGGAATAACAACTTGATGTATCATATTTTATCAATTGGGGCTGCGTGACTGCAGATGGACAACAAAAAGTAGTTCGTGAGATGACAGACTGGTTCAATTACGATTGAAAATTGGCCTGATAACAAATCAATCTAACTCAAAACTTAACGAATTTCAACGTAACGAGGATAATATTTACATTCATCTTAAACGTAAATTTCTACAAATATATTTACGAAAAACTATTCCCAATTAAATATTCTTCCATCATATGATCAGGGTGTAGGTTGTGATGATTGAAAATAATTCGAATATCATGCAATTCATTTTCATGATTATCATATAATTAATCATATGTTTTAATTTAGTTTTCAAGCTTCTCAGTTGCCTAATTTTCAAACAACTACTAAAACAGATCAAAATCAAACAGCATCATCAAATTCTAAGAAACATGCTTGGCATAAATTATTTTCCGTATGATTTCTTCTTTTTTTTTTTTCTTAATAGGGAAAAAAAGAAGATTATTTGATATTTAGTCGACTAATACTATTCCAAATATAACAACAAAACATATTGTTTCAAATGATTGGCAAAATGAACAATGTCTAACATTTTCAAATGTTCGTAATGATTTTTTTCAAATGCGTGATCGATTACGAATAATAGATAAAAAATATCGAATTGCAAAATTAAAAAATGTTAATGATTATTGGAAATTTTGTTTTGGTAATAATATTCCATTTCAATCTTCATTATCATCTTTAGAAATTGATGATCAATCAAAAATACAAAATCCACTTCCAACAATGACAACAATGATTACTTTAACTCAAGTAGAAATTTTTCTTTTTTTTTTTGGAAAATTATTTTCAAATTAAATTTCTGTTTTTTGTTTTAAGCCTCAACTTCATGAATTATTACAACATGAAATCAATTGGCTTAAACAATGTGGATATTCACTTCATTTAGTATAATCTTTGTTTTTTTTTTTTATTCTCTAATCGATTGATATTTTTTATATCTTTTATTAAAGGCTTTGTATATGTTTGCTACATTAGTAGCTATTGAAAAACCTATCAGTGAAGATGTGATGTATACAATACGACAAACATGTTCAGCATGGAAACAAATACGAACGAACTTATTAGTAAGTAACACGGGTAGAGCCCACCGAATCGATTCCAGATCCATACTCGATCGGGTCCAGATTTGAAAGTTTCGGATACGATGGGTGCTAGACGTGGTGGAGTGTTGCTAAGGTGTTTGTGGCATTTTCATGGTAATATCTGTTATGATTGGTGGGAGATGCAAGGTTCTAGCCTATATACTTCAACAATAGGAAAACGTTGGACTAGAAAAATTAACTATGAGATATTCATTGATTTGCTTTTCCTCTGGTCCTTTCTGGTTGAGATTTAAGAGAATCCCTTTCTGAAGAACTGCAGAAATATTTGAAACTTTCCGAGTAGATAGATCTCGATGCGTAGAACAAAAGTTGTTTTAGACTCCGGATTCCTAAATACTTCCTTCTAGGAAATATCTGAATCGCAAAGGCTAAAAATCGTTCTGCTGTCTCAGCCGCAATAAGTCTGATAGCGCTGGAAGGTTTTTTTTTTACAGACATATATGTTGGAGAAGTGGAAAACAAATTTACCTGTATATATCAGAACTACTTTTCTCCAACTAAAGTGATCGAAATCTGGTCGTATTAGAAAATCCATGATCTCAGAACCTTTGCATACAAAGAATTGGCGAGTTTTTCAAGAGTTGAATTTAATAAAAGTACTAACTAATAATGAAGAGTTCTCATTCATATTGCATTTGACAGAGAACAGTTCAAAAGTATAGCAACAGTCGAAAAAAATTTCCGGACAGGAGTAGACTTTAACACATTCAGTAGGGATTTTTATCTATTTTGATCTTCCGCCGCATATTGCACTTCGGTCTATTCAATTCGAATTGATTTCATCATGTTTATTTTTTCTTTTTTTCTAGAATTCAACTGATAATGATTATCCTATTGATGATACTTTAATAAAATCATGTGATCTGTTTATATGTATAATTGGTCGATATTTTGGTCAATTTGATTTAGCTGATCGAAATGATTAAAATAGACTTTAAAAAATAAAATAAAATGATGAACTTTCTATTATATATATATAACTATTTTTTTTTGTTTCTTGTATAATGTGTTTTTTAGATGCAACCTTTAAAATATTTTTTTCATTCGACAACAATGTGTCGAATGTCAACATACATGTTATCTACTCATCGTCGATATTTAGCTACGGATAAAAATGATAATAAAACAACAGAATCTAAAACTGAAATAGGCCCATCGGCACCTGAAATTGAAATAAATAATCTTACTGGTGATCATCAACGTAAATAGAAACATATCATACGTTTTGTTTTTGTTTTATAATTTTAATTAGTTCTTGAAAAATAGATGTTGTTGAAATTGCTTTTAATCGACCTGCAAGACGTAATGCTCTTGGTAAACAATTACTTATTCAAGTAGATAATTATAGAAATAAAGAATTATTTTTAAGCATATTTTTTATTGATTTAGTTGGATGCAACAATAGATAGTTTAAACGCTGATAATACAATTCGATGTATTCTTTTTCGTAGTTTGGTTCCAAATGTATTTTGTGCTGGTAAATTTTATTTATAAAGAGAAGAATTCAAAATTTTGTTTTTTTTTTGTAATTAGGTGCTGATCTAAAAGAACGATTAGAAATGCCTCAAGAAGAAGTAGGACCATTTGTATCAAAAATTAAAGAAATATTCTCTAAAATATTTGGTTTACCTGTACCAACAATCGCAGCACTTGATGGTGAGTTATTAAATAAAATTTTTATGTTTCAATTATTTAAGTTCAAATTTTATAATATTTGATATTGTCTCGTTCGTAGAAATATTTATTATTGTCAATTATCATTTATTACAAATAATTAGATATTCCGAATTGGATTTTAAAAAAAAACACAAAATATAGAAATAATATTCTCGCGATTAAAATCGAAGAAAAAGAAACATATAGTTCCAAATATTTGTAAGCAGTAGAACTCGGGCCGCTCTTTTATGGCTCGGACCGGGTCTGGAAGAAACTCCGTTTATAGAGATTTTTTTTCTCAATAGACAGCTATTCCATAGTTTTCGGTTTTTATAAAAAGTGATGACCAAACGAGGGTAGTGTGGAGAAGCTTTCCCTATCTTCTCTCAGGGTGAACCAAATCTGAGAAAAAGGATAAAATCGTCGGACCGGGCGGCTTCTTTCGAGGCTTGATGCATGCATCGTTGGATAGAGGAAGTCCTTCTCTACAAGTCTACATATATCCCATTCTGTAGTAAAAACCTTATAGTCGCCTTCGCATACTAATACGAATTTCAGTGTAATCGGTGCTCCAACGAATCCTATGTCAATATCTCAATGTTCTGTATAGACATGCACCGTAGATATGGAACCGATAGTGGTACGGATTTTAGATCGGTTCTGTCACTAATGCACTGAACTTAGATTCAGACTCGGGCGTTCGGAACTCATCCAATTAGTTGAGATAGTATCGGACATTTGGATGGATTACCCAAGTGTTTCTTGAGGTATATGGACAATCATGGAGGCACTCTAACACTTAGCTAAGTGCGTGTTCGAGCATATCTGAATATTACTGACTATTTTTAGAATGCCTATAGACTTTCGATTTTTGGATCATTTATTTCACTGTGTGTAGATCTACCATAACCAAGCCTGAAATCCTTTCTTTTAGTTTATTTCTACTTTCTTTTATTAATTAATTGAAAAATGACTGTAGTGAACATCGAATCCGAACGTTCGGGTTCGGTACATGCATAGATTCCTAATCATATTTTCTTATTTTAATAATAATTATTTTTCTTCATATAAGGTTTGGCACTTGGTGGTGGACTTGAATTAGCTTTAGCATGTGATATTCGTATAGCTGGTAAGTATTTATATATTTAATATAGAATCAATCTATTTTTATTTTTATAGCACAAACAGCAAAACTTGGTTTAACAGAAACAAAACTTGGTATTATTCCTGGTGCTGGTGGTACTCAACGTTTACCTCGAATAATTGGTCCACCAAAAGCTAAAGAACTTATTTATACTGGTTTGATTTTACTAATTAAATTTTTGTTTTTTCTAAAATAAATAATTTCTAGGACGAATTTTAAATGGTCAACAAGCATATGAAATTCGTTTAGTTAATGAAGTTGTTAAACAAAATGAACAATTAAATGCAGCATATCAACGTTCACTTGAAATAGCACAAGAAATTGTTCAACAGGTTTGTTTTTTGTTTTTTTGAAATTATAATTAATTATTTGTTTTTTGATTATCCTAGGGACCATTAGCTGTTCGTATGGCAAAACAAGCTATAAATAAAGGTCTTGAAGTTGATCTTCAAACAGGTCTTGAAGTTGAAGAAGGTTGTTATGATACTGTATTAACATCTGAAGATCGTATTGAAGGTTTAAAAGCTTTTCAAGAAAAACGAAAACCTATTTATAAAGGCGTTTAAAATAGACTTGTTCTTTTTCTTTTCTTATTTTGATTATTTATGTATTGTATTTTTTTTCTTCTTTCATGAAACCCAATAAAACAAAAACAAAAAAAAAATTCATACATAATATTTTATAATATCTCAATCTTTCATGTAGATATGGTTGGTTATGATCCAGAGAAAAAAAATTTAACAAGTAGTCAAATTTTAATTGCTAGTACGACAGCAAGTTTTACTTCACGTTTTCTTTTACAACCAATTGATGTTATTAAAATTCGCTTTCAAGTAGGATAGAATAAAAGAAACAAAAATTCTAATCTTATTATTGTTATATATATATATATATATATAGCTTCAAATTGAACCTATTCGAAATTTAACAAATTCAAAATATCGTACTCTATTTCAAAGTATTCGTTTAATTCATTATGAAGAAGGTTTACGAGCTTTTTGGAAAGGTCATATTGCAGCACAAGTTCTTTCATTGACATTCAATTCTGCTCAAGTAAGTTTTCAATAATTAGAAAATCGTTTTTTTTTGTTTTTGATTTTATTAATTATCTTAGATGTATGCATTTGAAAAAGTTACTAAACAATTAGGAGAAATTTTTCCTATTACAACATCTTCACCAACAGCTAAAACAATAACACATTTTGTTATAGGATCACTTGCTGCTAGTATAGCTGTAATTAGTTGTCAACCAGCAGATGTTTTACGAACAAGATTTGTTGGACAAGGTGAACCAAAGGTTTGTCAAGACTTATGTTTTTTTTTTTACTCTTCATTTCTAGTTTAATCAGCCCATTTGTTCAAAATATGACAATGATATTCAATTTTTTCTCGATAAAATAACTTTTGCACCACTCTATATACCGAATGTCTCAACATAGTTTATTTTACATATAGAATAAAATCTCTCTATATGAACATGCACATTTAATACTTATTTCTAGTTCTATGAGCAATAACAACCTCTTTAATGTAAGTAACATATGTTCTGCCATCCGCCACATGCAGAACGACAAAAAAAAACGAAATTATATACAATTCATGGGACGCATAAAACAAGAGAATGAACTAACCGTACATATTTAAAAGAAAAAAAACCTAGTATTATATAACAGCAATAGTGTAACATCTTGTCGTATTAGTGTTAACAGTTAGTAACATCCCATCATGTCAATACAAGATGGTTTATATCTGATTAAAAATGTTTTCGAATAAAAAAGAAAACTGAAAAATCTACTTTTGGTTATTTACATTAGAAAGATTTTATTATATCTTCGTACAAACGAAATATATAATATTGAATTGTTCTTTAAATTTCAATTTACGTTAATTTAAAACAGTAGATCTAAACATTTTTATAGGTCACAGAGTATAATTTGTATGAGATGCATTTGCTTTACATTCATTTCTACCATGCTGTCGCCACGATGTAACAGATATTTAGAAGGTTACGCTTTTATTTTCGATTGAATATCAGATACACTTTTAGGAATATTCCATGGTCATCACATATCCTTAATGCCACCTACTGATGAATTTTCTTTGATTTAAAGCGAATAAAAACCGGCGATAATTTGATATCTAAACAGTTGACTATCCTCTGAAAAAAGCATCTATATTACTTTTTAATACTATGTGATAATTATATTCTTGTCAATATTTTCATTTAGATCTATCACTCATATATTCAAGCAATAAGTCTTATTTGGACTCGAGAAGGTTACCATGGATTTTATCGTGGTTTAATTCCAGCTATTATTCTTTATGCACCTGTTTCAGCACTTACATTTGGATTTTATGAATTATTTAATCGAGCATGGGATCATTTACCAATTAGAAAATTTGGTAATTTAATTTTTTCATGTTTTACCTTTTAGTAACTAATATATATATGAATAGATTCTATAAAACATGGATTTAATGGTGGTATAGCTGGTGTCTTAGCTAAATTTGTTGTTTATCCATTTGATTTAGCAAAAAAACGACTTGAAGTTGTAAAATTTGAAGAAGCTCGATCTAAATTTGGACAAGTATATTTTTTTTCTTCTTATGCATAAACGAATCTAATTAATAAGAAGAAGAAAAAAAATGAAATTTAATTTTAGACACGTGCATATTCTGGTCTGATAAATTGTTTATCTGAAACAATTCGACATGAAGGTTTTACTGGATTATATAAAGGTATGACACCAAGTCTTATTAAAGCTTATTTATCAACAGCTATTACTTTGGGTATTTATGATTCGATTTGTAATCGTTTTCGCCAAATATCGTCTGATTAATTTTATCTTATTGTGTGTTGATGGATTTTATATTTCCAAGTCGTTTTTTTTTGTTTTTGTGTTGCAGTGTTAAATAAAATAAAAAATAAAATGAAAATTATTATAGCAGTAGATGTCAAATTTTTTAGAAGTAAAACAATGGAAGTCAAGTTTTAACTGAAGTGTTCAATTTCATGGATGTAAAATTATAGCATGAGTACCAATGAATGATTACTAGTTCCATTTTTTTTTTCTTTCTCTCGCTCTCATTTTGAATAGTAGTTTGTATATACGGCACTTTGCGACATTGGATCATAAGAGAAGAAGAAGAGATGCTCTCTTTCTTTTCTTAAAGTATTACGTAAGACAAAAGGAAGTATTTGTTAAATGGAAGGTGTCACAGCCGAGAAACAAACTCAGTAAGCTATAGGTCATATTTGTTGACAAGGTCAATATTATTAGAAGTCGGTTTCGTTGTGTATTAATTTTGTAAGTTCTATTTTTTTTTTTTTTTTTTCTGTTATAAAATATATTTCGAATCTCAGATTGTTGAACTAAATATCAGATAATGGAATGTCTCACTTAAAAAAAAAAAACAAATAAAATAAAAAGTGATAGATTTATTTAATTGAAATAAAAAATGGATACGGTCATAATGAAAAAGATGATTTTCTACTTAATAAATTAAGATTGTGAACTACAAAAATGAATAGAATGAATTTTTTGTTTTAAAAACTTTATGTTTGTCTTCATTTAAATATCATTGAACAAGGTAAAGTCATGATTTCTTGATAAAGAAATTCTAAAAAAAAAAAAATTGTTTCATAATGATAATTCTGATTTTCGATTTTCTTATTAATAAAATACGTATAGACATTTATAGTTCTCCTTCATTACTAATTATTTTTATTCTCTTTATATAGTAAACATATCCTTCTATGAGTCTTAGAGTTAATATATATTGCTTTAAAAGAAAAAAAGGAACGGCCTTGACATGTTAAAGTAAATTTCTTTAATGATCGTGATCTTTCTTTTTTGTTCCAGGCAGATAACTTGTTAAATTAAGATGTATATACTTATATGAATAGTACTGAAAATGAGTTTATTAGATTGAAATTAAATGACGTCTTAGTTGAATATTGAATATGAAGTAATAATAATCTTAATACACCTTGTCACTTGTTATGACTAATCATGTTGAAATTAGGGTGAAAAAAAAAAGAATTTGTCATCACACAATAGAAAAGAGTTGTTGATAGAATGTACATGATTAATTCTCTACATATTCTGAAGAGAGTTTATCATGTTTATTTAGATAAGACTTGGAAAATACGAATTTGAAATGTTTTGAAAAACAATCTATTGAAGAAAACCGACGAAGCCAAAATTTGTTTTCATACTGCGAATTGTAATAGATCGAGTCGTTTTTTTTTTTCTTACTTAACAAAAAATTAATTTATTTACATATTCGATGGACTCTAATTTTCATTTTTCATATCAATCCATCTTCAGAAGAAAAAAAAAATTCCTAAAACAAAAATAATTATTATTCTTCTATTTTATATAGGCTTTAAAATAATAATCAATGTCAACAAAAAATTCTACAAATAAAACTCCATGGCGTTATCGTCGTTTTTGGCGTTTATTTCGACGTGAAAAACCATCATTAATTGATATAACATATTCATATCAATATATGATGCGTTTTCGTATGTTATGTCATTGATTTTAATTCTTAACATTGTTTTAATTGTTTAGCACGATTACCTATTACAGTCCCACCACTTGTTCCGACATTAATGTCGTATCGTTGGTATGTTTCTCTTTATTTTATATATATATATATATCTTTACTCGTGGAATGTTTGTATTCGGGCGCATTTCGTACTAAACTATCATAGTTATTGTTGACGTAAAGCTTGTATATAGAACAAATGACATTGTATTCGAAAAGATAAAATAAGAAAGAGAGTGAGATTATAGATCGAAGAAAAAAAAAAAAAGGATGGATTAAGTTCATGCGCGTGCAATCGTACAAATGTACGAGCAATCGTTTAGGCACGTTCAAAAAATGCAAACAATCAGTCGACTGCCGAGTAATTGACACGCATCTGTTTAACGCCTTTTTTTGTGTTGTAAACATCTTTTCTTCTTTTTTTTTTTTTTTTTTTTTTTTTTATTCTCTTCTCCCATTGTCTTTTGTGTGAATACACGATCACTATTGATAGTAGTGTCAAGGCAAAAGTAGAGGACGAGAGACAGACGCGTTGCCATTATTCTATATGTGTGTGTGTCTCGTATTTGAACATGCTCATTCTGCTTTATTCAACATCATTTGTTATAATTCTCGAATTTCAAATTGAATATCATCAATCAACTAACGACAATAAATACTCATTTTTTATATTTAATATGTGGTTTATTTCACGTTGTATAAGCATTGATTCATTAAATAGTTGTTTTCAACAACAAAAAAATAAAACAAGTTATGATTTTTGTTTATGTCGTGGAGGATCTGGTATTTTAGCTAAAAGGTGAGATTCGTTTTTTTGTTTTGTTTTCATAGAAACAAAATTATTTTAAAGAATTAGAATAGTTTTTATTATGTTATATTGTTTGTAAGAAGAATTTTTTCTATATTGAAATAGATTCAAACTTTTTAAAGAATAAATTTATTCGTTAGAATATTATTAATCTCTACTTGAGTGTAATAATAGATTAAATATATATAGATCAATGATCTTTTGTTTCCTGTTCATTTTAATTCCAATACACATCTTTTGTATAGAATCTATTTATTCGATACAAAAGCTACTTTGATATACAGTGTTAAATTCAGAGCGATTTCCGGCGAGAGGAGATTGATGTTTCCTCTTCTTTGAGTAAAGTTTGAAATGACTTACAAAATTGTATTTGTATATTTTAAAGAAAAAGATCCTTGATACATTCCGATTTAGTCCTGTTGCTACAAAAAAAAAAATCGTCAGCCATAAAACGGCTTGTTCATGTAACGCGACATTTCGCTGATGAAGTCGTTGAAAAATTTTTTTTTTCGAGATGGACACATCTGAATATATTATTAGATGTAATTTTTTACGCTGGTTATGAATTTAACATTTTTTTATTTAAATTCTTGTATATTTTTCAACTTACTGTACAGTTGATGATCGTTCCTTTCAATGTAACAATATGATTCTTGCGTAGAACGAACAAATTGTGTCACAGCGTTACGCGATAAATAAACTCTTTCTGGAAGCTCAAGACTTCAACTAAAAAACGTTATTTATAGAGTACGATAAGCTGCGTTGAATGGCATTTGAACGAACTTTCTAGCTCTTACAGTTTCTGAAATAGTTAAAAAGAGTTTGTCAAAAAACATCACAACGTTTCATTTAGACAAGTCGAAAAAATGAATTTTAGCTGTGTGTGAAGGTGGAAACTGCAGGTTATTTTTTGGTTCCTACGCCTCTAGTTGAGATCTATCTACCCTGAAAATTTTATAATTTCTGGTTAATCCATTCTTAAGAAACCCGGAAAAGGGAGAGAAGAGGGTACCCGTAAGTTTTTTACTAACTCTCGTAATTGGTCGCCAAATGAACGAACATATTGTTGAAAAACTTTCGCATCATTCTTTATTGCGTTTTTTTTTAGATTGATATAGATGAACATTGAATATTCTTTATTCTTACCTATTACAAAAGTTCATTGTTTTGCTGGGATCCCGAAATATGCACACGACAATTCTGAGGGCGTCAGTTGAGGACGATGAGTTTGAAACGGTTTGTTCTATTTCTGAACTCTCATTTACCGTTTCGTACGTATATCCTTCATAGACTTGACAGAATAAAACAATCTCCTTGTGATTAGCAATAGCAACTATATCGTGTTTCACATTTTAATCTTGCAGGAATTTATTAAATGAATGCTATAGCTTTCTCAGGAAAATTTTACATAAGAATAAATCTCAATAAAAATATTTTATTGTAAAATTTTCAAACTTATTAATATCTTTTAAGGAACGATGAAGATGATTGTGAATCAATACCAAAAAAACATTCATATGATAATCATTATCAACAACATACACGTCGACGTTTACCAAAACGTTATAGTGATATAGTTGGTCCATCATCAAATAGAGTTTATCTTCCAAGAAAAGATTCAATTAAACGAGATAAACAAACAACAATTCATTCTTTATCACAATATAATCATCAATATACATCATTTAAAACAAAATCAAATGAAAATTTATATATAATTAATTCTCATAATAAAAAATCTCGTGATTTACTTTCATCATTTTCAAAAATAGAAACAAAAGATAATTCAATTATTAGACATCGTTATAATAGTAAAAATAAACGTTTATCAACAATAAATGCTGTTGATCAACTTGCTCATCGTATGCAAGCAGCTATGAGTACAGAATTAATGCATTCACTTGATAGAAATTTTGTTTTTGGTGATAAAAAACCATTATCATTATCAAATTGTTCACATATAAATCGTTCACAATCATTTCATACATCAACATCACAAACAAATAAATGGTGGAATAAATCTTCTGATAAAGAACATTATTATTATGTTATACCACGAGTAAAACATCGTTTAGATGATGAACAAAAATCTATTGGAACAATATCTTCATTAGATGAATTAACACCTGATTATGATGATGATGATGATGATAATAATCATAATCATAATCATAATAATATTATTATTCGACGAATTAATAATAATAATAATAATAATGATAATACTGATGAAATTGATGAAGAACCAATCATAGATTATAATGATTCAAAATTAACATTTAATTCTGATATTGAAGATAAACTAATAACACCACCAACACTTTATGATCTTGGAGTTACATCATCATTTATTGTTCAACAAACATCTATAACACCAAGTAGTGAAACTTTTACACAAGAACAATCATCTATACCACCAACACCACCACCATTACCAAATACAACAATACAACAAAAAAAATTAACATTTCGTTGTCGTACTATTGCTGATAAAATAACAGCTGATCATAAACTTATTTTAAAAGATGATGTAGATACAATAACAGAAGTTCCAGAAGAAATACCGATAGGTAATTTAAGAAAAATATTTGTTGTTCTTCTCAATAATAATCTATATATATAATGTCTAGTGTCTGTGCCAGGTTAAAGGTCAAACCATAGGACCTCAAGTGGTATCCTATGAGGATATCGTAGGTCCTCAACAGTCATTATATTGGAGAACCTATAGGTCCTCAAGGGACGTCCTATGGGAGTATTCCATAGTCTTTCAAGAGCTATTATATGGAGTATCCATAGGCTCTGAAGGGAGTAAGGCAATAAGAGGATAATGCTACAAGGAAATATAAGGCTATAAGGCCGAAAGTTAATGAAGAGTATGAGATCGTAGGCTATCTATATATACAATGTGAAGTGTCTATATGGCTCTTACTGCGTGAAAGTGTAAAGCTTTGAAGTCATATGTTAAAGGAGAAAACAGTTGTATGGTATGCACGTGCTCACGCTAGTGATAATATTATTTCGCCAGATGATAGTGCGCAAGTCTTATGAGGAAACATGTCCAATTGTTGAGCATCGTTTGACTTCATATTTTGGCTATGAGTAGGACTTAGTAAAAGTAAGAAAACTTTTAAAAAGTTTCGGATTCATTCACTATCTAATCAGTTTGGTGATTGATTTAGTAGATTTTTGATCTTAGGAACATTTTTTCATGGAATACTCAATTAGTAAATTTTCATCTAAAGTTTTACCCAGAAGCAGAGCCATTAGAATATCCTAAACATTTCAGCTCAAAGGAATGGTTTTCTTGCCTGATATATCAAGTATTCAATAGACGCTTATATCTCACAAGACAAGCTATAGAATCAAACCTGACCGAACCCGGAACTCAAGTTTATAGTAAACTATCCCATAGTTTTAAGCAAATTATCTTATAAATCAAAAACATAATTCAAGAAAGATGATTCAAAGAAACGTACTAGCCGTTGTCGTCGCCTAAATAAATCAAAAAATTCAGTGAAATACAACAAATATATATATATTTTTTTTTTCTTTGATTGAATTATTTAGTTCCTCAAGTTGAAGAAGAACATTCAAAAAAATCTTGTCCTATTACAAATATTATATCAAAACCTTGTTATTTACATTTATCAAAAGAATTATTAGAAAAAACAACATTACGTAAAGTTTCTTATCCAATTTCACGTTCTTATTCAACATATGGTTCAATATCACAATTAAATGATCATAATACAGAATCGACAACATTACGTGGAAAAACTTCAATTATTAATGAACAATCATTGGATGGTTTATCATCATCAGCAACAACTTCAATTATTATTGAAAATGAATATGATCATCGAACATCATCAAAAATTTATAATGATTATAAACGACGAGCATCATTAATAACAGTACCAACAGATAATACATTAAGTCATAGTTATAGTCATTCAGCTATAATACATCCAATGCATACACATATTGGTGTACGTTCATCAACATCATCATCATCAAATGATAAATTAAATGATAATAATTTATCAAATAAAAAAATGAATATTCGTGTTATTAATCAACTTAATGAACATTTATCAATACGTTTTCGTCAACAACAACAAGATATATATTTAACAAAAGATAATAATATTATATCAGAAAATATAATTGATCATCAAAGTTATGATCCACCACCTGAACAAATAAAAGATGATATTCAAACAAATGTTTATGATGAACCTAATCATATTGAAATAACAAATACATCAACAATAAAATGTTCTGATATACCAACATCTACAATACCACCACCGCCACCACCGTAAGTTTAAATTTGATAATATATATATATTTTTTTTTTATACAAGAAGAAATTTCAATTCAATGAAGTACATTTAAATCTTCATATATTCTAGTAATTCGAGTGACTTATTCGTAATTCTAGTCGCTATAGAGATACGTTAATTGAATATGTCAAAAACAAAATCAGATTTAATTAAAAATATTAGAAAATGATATTGACAAACATTTTTCTGAACTGTCGTATAAAATAAATCATTTATAATAGCTTAGTAATGTTAGTCTATATTCATCAAAATATTCGAAGAATTACTAAATTGAAATCTAATCAACCAAAATATTTTTCTCAGATATTCGAAAATAAACATTCAATATATTATTACAAATTGATTTATTTCAGTTAATTGTAATCGCGTGATTAAATCTAAAGAAGATAAGATGACCTATCTAATTTCCGTAAAAGAGTAACATTCCCTATTATTAAAAATAATACATTTCCTTAGACTAATAATACCATTCATTTATTAGACAAGAAATTATAGACATGCATTCACTTACATTACTCATCATGTCATGTTGATCTTATTTTAATTAGATTACCAGTAGGTGGTTTTCGACCAATTGCATCTCAATTAAATCGTCCATTAAGCTCACAACGGACATCTATTATAACATTACCACGTGAAACAAATGGTTCTGAGTTTGGATGTAGTACCGGTACATCAACAATATCAAGTAAATTATCTGATGCACGAATTCTTCGAGAAGTAAGTTAAATAATTTAATTAATTAAAAGAAAAAAAGAAGCAAACAATAGAATATTCATTCGATGTTTTAATATAGTTACGTACAAATCCATTATTTACAAAAGCTAAACAACATCTTGAAATTGAAACTGATCTAAATGGTCGACAATTAAATGACTCAAAATGTTATTTAAGACTTGATAAATGTTCGAAAGGTATTTCATCAACAATTCAAAATGATAATTCAAATGAATCATTAAACAATAATAATAATAATAATAATAATAATAATAATACAAATATGGAAACATTTATAATGCGTCCTAATGAATTAAATGCTATTATGAATAATACAGCGAAACGAACAAAATCATTGAACAGTACAACAAAAGATATAAATCAAATTACTTCAAGAACATTGACGAAATCATTTCTACAAACACAATGTCGACAATCAGAACTTGAACTTATCTTTCAAGTAAGAAAAAATTAACAACAATCTCATCTATTATATAAATAGAATCTTCAAGGCATAGAACTATGTCATTTAATAATAGATAATTCTTTTTTTAATGATCTATTTCATGTCTTTATTTCTATTTTATTATCAACAAATAACAGATCTATATCTAAAGAACATGTACTAAATGTAATATTTATTTAGCTTCATGTTTTTCAGATTATAAGATAACTAACTAGAAAAATCTTTTATGTAAATAATTATGTGTAGATTGATAATATATAATGTTACTTACTTTTTTCTTTTTAAATGAAGATTCGAATCTATATATTGACTGATTTGAATTTTTCAACCTTTATATTTTATAGAATTTTCATATTCTCTTTTTTTTTTCTTTAGAAACGCGCACAACGAAACGAACAACAAAATCCGACATGATGAATGATTATTATTATTAATATTTTTGTTTTGTTTGTTTTTTTCTTAATTTCAAATAAAATGCATTTAGATTCAATGAAAATCTTATATGTATATAAATATATATATTATACATGTCTATTATCAAAGACATGTTACTCTTGAAATAGCAACATCATGATAATTACAATAATCAACAAGAATATTAGTTTTAGGTTTATTATTATTATATTGTTTTTGTTGATTTGTATTTTTACGAGAATAATTTGTTAAAAATCGAAGTTTTGGTTGATTTTTATTTTGTATATTTATTAAAACAGTTGTTGCTGATGTTGATGATGATGATACTGTTGGAATAATTAAATTTTTATTAATATTATCTAAATTGTATTTAAGATTTTCAGTTGATATAGCTGATGATGGTCGTTGATAATGATAACGTAACAAATGTAAATTATGATAAGACATAAATATGTTTCTTAAACGTGTTGGAAAACACCGACATAAATATTTAATAAATGCACGACGAAATTCACGAGAAGAATAAGCATAGATTATTGGATTCACACTGAAAAAAAAATATATGTATATAGAAACATGATATTCATATTAAATAGGATATTTACCCTGAATTAATATAACCAAACCAAGTAACCAATTGAAAGAAAAGATCATTTCCAGTTAGAAATTCTTCTATTTTATTTAAATTTTTTTTTCTTCTTTCAAGAAATAGTTTTGCTATAGCAGTTAAAGGATTATAAACAAAAAAAGGTAACCAACATAAAACAAATATTCCCATAACATAAGCAAGTGTTACTGTAGCTTTTTGTTCTTTAGAAAATTTTGTTAAACGTTTACCAAGTGTTCGACGTGCTTTTTCTGATGATATTTGTTTATTTTTTTTTATTGTTAATTGATGATTATCATTTGTTATTGAATAATGTGATACAGAATTATCTGTAAGTGATGATTGTCTATCAATTAAAATACCATGATATTTACCACGATGTATACGTAAACAAACATCGGGTGAAATATTTATTGTTGGTGAATTTTCATTATTTATTTGTTTTTTAAAATTTCTTGTTTTTTCTGTTGTTATTTTAACACCAGTTTTAAATGCATGTAATTGTTTTATAGCAGCACGATAAATTCTTATATAAACAAAAATCATTACAAATAAAGGTATATAAAAAGATATTAATGATGAAACTAATATATAATAAATATCATCAGGAAAAAGACAACGATCAATTTGATATTGACGAACAACTAAACGCCAATAGGCTATAGCAGGAAACGAAATAAAACCTAATCGAAATAATTAAATTATTATTTAAGAATAAAACAAAATAAAAATAAAAAGAAAGATTTTATTTAAGAATTCACCTGAACATAACCAAACAGCAAAAATAAGATAAGACCAACGTTTAACAAAAAATGCTCGATGATATGAAATTGGATTTGTTATTGCTGAATAACGATCCAATGCAATAACACATAAATCAAGTATTGATGCAGTACTTGCACAAACATCTATTGAATGCCAAATATCACAACAAGTTTTTCCGAATGGCCAATATTCACCATAGATAACCTGAACAATAGCAAATGGCATAACAATTAAACCAACAAATAAATCAGCACATGCTAATGATGCCATATAATAATAAGTAGCTATGAAAAATAGAAAACTTTATTCATGTGTTAGAAGATTATTTCAATATTTTATTTATGAACTTTTAAATAAATATTATAGTTAAACATGATTTATATTAGTATATTTATTATTGATCTTACCTTTATTTAACATTTGACATATATATTCAATAAAAACTTCAATATGTTAATAAACATTTATTATGATTTTATTGAACAACAAAAAAAAAAGAGAAACATTTACTTAAAATAGTCAAAATATGAAGAGAAAAATTCTGTCTTTGTGATAGTCTCTGATAAGCATCTGTCACGAGCTGGAGAGGCATGGGTCCAAATTTTTACCTGTATACTTCAGAACTTCTCTTAGATCATGTCTCACAAAAATGTTATTATACAACAAGAAGTTTTGAACGAATTTTGATAATTATTTACAAATTCGTGTTAGAAAATATTCATCTCAGATGAATACTATCGAATATTTTTAATTCAATGTTTAATTATATATATATATATATACCTGATTTTAAATATCGTTCTTGAATAACAGCATAAATAACAAGTCCATTACCAAAAATGGTAATAATACAAAAAAGACAAAGAAATATAGCTAATATTAAATTAGTAAAATCAATATTTTGCTTTATTTCGTAGAAAAAAATATTTGTAGAATTTTTAGAATTGTTTATTAAATTCTGAGTTATTAAATTGGTAACAATTGGCATTGGATTTTTCAAACAAATAATAAAGTAGAAAAAAGATCATCATATCCTTTATCAATCTAATTGTTGTTGTTTTGTTAACATTTTTACAAGAGATAAATATCTAAAAACAGAGAGAAAAGTTAGAAAAAAAGATTCTTTGTCACTCCATAATATAAATATACACATAAATAAGACAACATAACTTATCAAATCGAAAATCTTAACAATCGTTTTACACACCCGTATAATAATAATAATAAATTGAATACTGTCACATTATCGATAACATTATATGATAAAAAAATAATACATGAATATTTTCTATATAATGTCAAACATAATGTCTTTTTTGCTCCCTAAAAACAACTACAACAACTAAGCCGAATAATTATCTAGTGTTCTATATAAATCGTTTTATAATATAAGTACCCGACACCCTTCATGTGTTTAACAGTTTACGTATATATATATATATATATAAAAGAATACTGTGTGTAATATTGCGGCTACATTTTCTTTTCTGAGTAACATGGTTTCTATTCTGAATGAATGTTGAATATAAAAAAGAATGTGAAATATAGTAATGTTCTATCTACTATGTGTCGATCAAGTCTATGTTAGACTTGTCAACTGACTATTTTAATATGCAAAAAAAAAAAAAGAAAAGATAAAAATGATTGAGAACATCTATAGCTTTTTATTCTCGAGCAATGTCATTCATGATTAACTATTTACTCGTACTATTTTTTCTTTTTCTCTGTTATTCGTCTTCTCTTTTTTTTTTTGGTTCCTATTAACTGTCCATGTTGATGAACTGTTTCATTATCGTTTACAGACACGACTATATAAATGTTCTTTCAAATAAATAAGTATAATTTGTGCGTGTGTACGATAGTAATGAACATCTCGACATATTATACAATTAATATAAGAGATAGTAAATTAAATTGTTACACATTGTCATATTCGATAATATAATAATATGATAACAATGAATAGATTTTCTTTTTTTGGGTTCTAAGAAATATTTTTCTTTGAATATTTACAAGAATTCGGTTCTGTTGTGTTTTTGTTGTCACTATATATAAGAATATCATATTTCCATTTGCATAAAGTTAAATCTAAATATTAGAATGAATAAACTTTGTTGTTGTTGTTGTTGTTGTTTTTCTTTTTAATAATTTATGAGAAGAAAATGAGTCAATAATCATTATCATAGAATTGTTTAGATTTAGTCGAGTTGAAAATTTTTAGTTTGATTAAGCTAAGAAGAATAATAACCTGTCTATCAATATTTCCGGCTAAGTTTTCTTCTCTTTATGTCATATATGTCGAAAAATGATAACATCAAATGAAGATTAATTCTATGATTTGTTAACTTCCATTACTACCAAAAAGAAAAACAAAAAGTTATAGACTTAAAAACGATCGATTACTGATATAAAGATAATTTTCTACTTTTATCTTCAATTAATCATAAGTCATTTATAGTATAACTTCTTACTTCATTCAAGCAAAAAAGATAAAAAAAAAAGGATTTTTTTTGCTTCAAAGAAAATATATCTGTTACTAATTTATAGAAGTATCAACAAACAAAAATGGATACTTTTTCTAAACGATGAAAATAACATTCTTTAGGTTTTATAATATATATATTTTTGAAAATTACGCAGTTTCTAATAACAAAAGTCTTTGATTTATTAAGAAAGACTATTCTCAATTCTTCCTACCGGATGTTCGATTTCATAATAACTATAATAATAAAAGTCGGCCTTTTGCGTTTGTTTTACTTCAAAAGCTTTGAACGGATCTAGTCTATCAATCCATTTATGAATGATTATTATTTTTAATAAAATTGTTATATTCACGTACAGTCTCATATACAAAATAACATCTTAATTTTTACTATGTAGATACATAGAAATGTAAGACCAAAAAAAAAAAAAAAATTAATCATATAAAGTAGAACATCTACTTGTTTCATAGAAAAGAAATTTCTTTTTTTTTTTTTTTTAATAAATCAACTATCAATGTAAATTACCGTTTTTTACTTACTGTTTTTTATTAATTCATCAAATGAACAAATGCATATTGTTCTGTAAGAATAAAGAAGCTCATATTCAGAATGTTAATAATTAGATTCATATTCACTATATATAAAAGAAAAAGAAAAAGCCTAGACAATATTATTTCAAAATCAAGATGACATTCTTCCACGATTTAATATATTATATCTAATAGAAATAAATGGAAATGACCTGATTTTTTTTTTTGCATGGTATTTTCCGATAGTGTTAAATACTTGCTTCCGGCATTCGATTTATTTTTCATCTCTAGTTACATCTTATTCGACTATGTATGTTTAGGCAAAGAACAGAATATATATTCATTAAAGAAATAAATCTCTTACTTTTTTTTTTTCTCTCAATATCATCATCATTCACATCTGTTTTTCATCTTTTTTATACAATGAAATAGATCGAGAAAAATAAAAATAAAACAGAAAGGAAATGATATATACTATATTGATGGCACTATTATACTTAACCTACATGCATGCATGTGTCTTATTACAAAGAAGAATATTAACTATCACCTTATGTAAATATATTAATAGAGAATATTTATAATATTTTCTTATGTTTCTTTTATATTCTAAAA